GGGGGGGCGGGATTTTTTCTGTCGCGTCTTTTGTTCTTCCATCAGAAAGATACCAGCTACAGGCGCCGGAGAGGTGGACTAGTGTCGGTCTGGGATGGGGGCGGTTGTTGCTTGTGTTCCCTGTTCATGCATGTCAAACTTTCAAACTTTCAAGACGTGGACGAGGCGGTAGGGACACGTTGGGGTAGCGGGGAAGTGGCGAATCTTGCCAAGGAGGATGCACGAGGCAAGGCCAAGAGGACCGCCTACGCAGGATTGTAGGAGTATCTAGATAGGGAGGGGGCACGCAGACACTATACCTAACCCTAACCCTAACCCTAAGGCACGGATTGAATACTTTATTCCATATGTTTGCTTATTCAATTTTGCTGCGTAGACTACTGGACCAAGACCAGACGAGAAGGGACAGAAAGAATTGCCGACGATAGCTTCGGCAACACAGGCAGAAAGCGTGTCTGTGCGTAATCGCGAGGAACACGCGTGTTTTTCATCGAAACACAACATACACAGGCACGAGCAATGGCCAAGTGTATGTGTCTACCGCACAATGTAAAATCCGGCAACCGGGCGCAACCCTGCCAATTAGCCGCGGATCTAAAAAAAGCTACACGGAGCACATGTGCCGCAATCGTTTTCGGCGACTAGTTCAGTCCGAAGAGGCGAAAACACGAAACATGGCATCCCAAAATATTTGCCCACATCAATGTCCCGCTCCTCACTTGCGGTAATGTTGAAGGTCAGGACCTGCGGCGCCTCTATCTGCTCGTCGATCCTCCCGTACAGCTTGCGGAACCGCGGCAGCCCTGCTGTGCGCATCCACACGATGAAGTGCTCGTTCAGGACGCCCTCGATGGGGCTCACCACCCCTGGGTACGTCTCGTACAGGAACTGCGTCTGCGAAACACGTGGGGGGCAAGGGACGTGAAAAAAAATTGAAGCTGCTGACTCCCGGGGTGTGGGTTAGACCACTGGGGGGCTCCGCCGACACGATGAGGGGGGTCGATGGACGAAACAGGGCGGAAACACTGCGTGTGTGTTCTACTTTGTTAGCATCGACGGCGCTCACCGGCTGACCATGAAAAGTGTACGTGTGAGTATCTTGAGGGGCGCCCTGTTGTACCCACAACGCACAACCCGATCGAGAAAAGTCCGACAACGGAAGGGGCGGCGGCTCACCGTCTCGTCATCCGGGTACCAAAACTTGTACTCCGTCCCGGTTGACTCGTCGGTGTGGTCCCCGCAGGACGAGTACTTGCTGCCGCCGAGGCAGTCAGAGCAGGACGTGTTGGCGGAGCACTCCGCGAACGTGAAGCCCGGCGGCTGCTTGAACCGCGTCTCTCGGTCCGACTTCCACGATATGTCCTTCTCGGACATGGTCACACCCTCGGTGGTGAGCTCGATGATATCTGGATTTTTGTCGCAGTAGCATGCGGGGGTTACGCGTTTGTCGTCGGTCGTGCTATGAGGGGTTGAGTCCGTTTCAGTGCCGGCCATAGCAACTGACGCCGGCCGCTGAGGTGTGCTCCATATTTTTGAACGAACAAGGGGCGGGGGAGGGACGTGTTTCGTTTCCTGTTCCTGCTGCTTCTATTGTTGGTGCTGCTGTGGTTGTTTCCTTTGGCCCACTCGGCCTCGTGTTTCACACGCTACAACAAAACGCGCCCGCCCCCGAGCAACAAGAAAAGTTACTAGATCGGGAGGTGGAATAGTTTTTTGTGGTGGTTGCACAAAAGTACCTGCAGTAGGCTCGTGCGTCTGTTGTTACAGAAGAACGGGGGGCTGTCCATCATCACCAGCTAGAGAGGGGGGTGGTA